ACAGTTTGGGTGATATATGGAGACAAGATTGGTGATGTAATTTGAGGCAGAGTTATAAATGGCTTTATATGTTATTGTTAATGTTTTGAATTTCATACTTTGGGCAATGGGAAGCCAGTGGAGAGATTGGCAGAGAGGGATGGCAGACATGGAATGGTTGGTAAGGTGGATGAGTCTGGCAGCAGCATTCATGATAGACTGAAGAGGGGATAGCCTGCGATTAGGTAGGCCAATGAGGAGGGAGTTACAATAGTCAAGGCGAGAGATAACAAGGGAGTGAATAAGTTGCTTAGTGGTTTTGGTGGTTAAAAACAGGCATATCTTGGTGATGTTATGGAGGTGAAGTCTACAAGCTTTGGACAGTGATTGGATTTGGAGCTGAAAGGACAGATGGGAGTCCAGGATAACACCTCGTACCCTAGCATGAGGGGAGGGACTGCTAGTTGTAGGATTGATCTTGATGGAGAAGTCAGGAGAGGGGGCACAGGCTGAAGGGAATATTATGAGCTCCATTTCAGAAAGATTGAGTTTGAGGAAGTGGAGTGATATCCATGTTGATATGCCACTTAGTATGTCATTTAGTAGGTTAGTGATGTGAGGTGAGAAGTAGAAATAAATTTGTGTGTCATCAGCATAGTGATGGTACTTGAAGCCATGGGAGTTTATCAAGTGACCAAGGGAGGAGGTGTAGATGAAGAAAAGAAGGGGTCCAATGACAGAACCTTGAGGGATCTCTACAGAGAGAGGAAGTGGAGAGGAGGAGACAGAGTTATAGGTAATACTGAAGGAGCACTGTGATAGGTAGGAAGAGAACCAGGAGAGAGCAGAGTCTTGGAGGCCAAGAGAGTGGAGTTTTTTGAGGATGTTTGACAGTATCAAACACCACAGATAGGTCAAGTAGTAAGAGTATGGAGTAGTAGCCATTGGTTTTAGCAGTTAGTACATCATTAGTGAGTTTTAGTAGGACAGTTTCAGTGGAGTGTAGTGAACAAAAACCGGACTGTAAAGGGTCAAGAAGGTTGTTGTTGGTGAGGTAGGAGTTAAGGTGATTGTAGACTAAGCGTTCTAAGAGTTTAGAGGTAAACAGGAGCAAGGAGATGGGTCTTAATCTTGTATTTGAAATGATTGGCAATCTCGTAAGCAGTGAGTGAGTTACTGGGTGGAGGTGGCGGTGGAGAAAGGAAAGTTAAAAGTAGAGAAGAGATGACGAGGACTGGATGACAAAGTATTAATAAGAGTGACAAAGTAGGCTTGTTTGGCAGCATGGAGGGAGGAATTGTATTTTAAGAAAGCAGATTTATATAGGGTGAATGCTGGCAGGGATTTGGTTTTACTCCACAATCACTCCAGTGTATAGCTATGTCTCTTAAGATTTCTGGTGTCATCAGTCTGCCAAGGTTGTAATGGTCAGGGCCTGATACTTCGTGTAGTTAGAGGAGCAAATGAGTCTAATGTGGAAGAAAGTGAACTGTTGTAGACAGAAGTGGCCAGGTCAAGGCAGGAGGCTTCCTGGTTCCAAGCTGTAGTTTGATTCTGCCTTAAAAGGGGACATTTAGGTTTTCTTTTGACTTGTTTTAGCTGAACGAAAGTTAGATGCTATTTTTATGATCATTTTCTGTCTCCAATCATACAGTTGATTATCAAAGTTTAATTTAGAACTCCAGCCAACCATTTTTGTCCCTAAAATGTTTACCACTGTAAGGATTGCTGCCTTTTAGTTATTTATGCCAGATGGTATAGCTGCATTGTTGCTTATCGCTCCTCTTCTCCAATGGTCTATGCACACAATGCATTGTATTCTATGAACCATTCACAATATACAGAGCATTCTGTGAATGGACAAGGGGAGAAAAAGGGTGAATAAATGACAGTGTGACTTATGTGTATGAGAGCCACAACTCTTATTGTCGTACAGAAATAGCATAGTAAAAAAATGTACTTTTGGCAGCACTAACTAAATTGTTTTTTTTAAGAAATGTTTACCTGACTTAGAGTTCACAGAACAAGAGCTTCACCTAATGTCTGTTATTGGTCTATGTGTGTGTATATTAGTATCTTTCAACCACCCTAGTACAGCAGTGCTACAGCTATCTGCCAAAACCACCTGGGTGCCAATCACCAAGGCAATTTTTCATTTAGGCACACTTCCAAGTGGCTAGGAAGGGGGTGTAAAATTCATTAGAATCATCCATACTGTTCAAAGAAAATACACTTTGTATACTTCTACTATAATAATGATTGTTTATGGTGACATCTGTATAAGGAGTTCACTTAAATGATATAATTCACTGTTTAAAAGCACATAATAAGCAAATGTAAAATACATTTTTATTTCTAAAAATCAAAAAGAAAAAAAAGTGGTTTGGTACTGTGGTGTTTATCAATTCCATTTATCAAGGATTTCCCATGGCTGTGCTTGTAAGATAAATGGAGAACTGCCTTATCCTGGAATGGTACATCTATCTCTGCTTGTACTTTCACAAAAATAATTCTTATGCATAAACTCCTGCTCACTCTGACACATTCAGATCTGTTGATTTAGAAACCCTATTTAAGCATTATAGGCAAAAGTAGAACTTTTAAGACAAAACACTTTATCAGGATACAAATTTAATGAAGAATGCCAACTACAAAATTTACCATTAATAATTAAACATGGTTTTATATTCCTTGTAGAGGGGAAACAGAAAATAAATTGTCTTTACAGAATATTTTCTGTATGTTAGTGACTACTCTAAACTAAGGACTCTGAGGTACTCTTGGATATATTGATCTATATGCTACTGTTCATGTTGTGAATGCTGCATATCACTATCCAAAATACAATCAAATTTAGAGACACTGGACCTGATTTAGCAAGCTGCATTAGCACTTAAAGTGGTTGTCAACATTTACATACACCTAGCGATAAGCCTCAGATGATACACAGAGATGAAACAAATCCTCTTACATAAGTTGTTATCTGGACCAGTGGAACTATGTAAAAATATTCATGCCAGGAATTCAGCTTTAAAAAGATCTTGGGAGATATTACTAAAACTGGAGCTTTCAGAAACTGGTAAAGCTGTGCATGGCAATCAATCAACATCTAATTTCAGCTTGTTCAATTAAGCTTTGTTAATAAAACCTGGAAGCTGATTGGTTTCTGTGAAGAGCTGCACAAAATTTTACATCCAGTTTTAGTAAATCTCCCCTCCATCATGTACGGAAATGCTTTCAGAAAGGATATGCTTGCCAAAATGAGGTTAAATACTTATTGCTGTCTGTGCTGCTCAATGCTACTCCATTGCAGAGAACTGGTCCTCTGAAGTCTACTGAGAAACTGACACTTCTGGAATGTTGATTTCCATGGTCCTCTGTAACATTCACTGGTTCTGCCCTCTGACCTCACATAACTGTAGGATACAGTAGTAATGAGAGGTCAAAGAAAGGAACTTGTAAGAGCAACAGGGGACCATGGACACCAGTACCTCTGGAAGTTCTGGTTTCCCATTTGATTTCAGGGTAGTAGTTAGAGAAATGTTGAGGGAGTTTGGGTAAGTATTAACCTCTTCTTTACAGGTTTGTCGTTTGATGAAAGCATTCTAATACATGACAGGGTCTCTATATTGCACCTAAAGTGCCGTCATTGCCTGTGATAATAGTGTTTGATGCACCACAGTAATTTAAAGGTATGTGCCAGCAAAAAAATAAAAAGTGAGTCTTGAGATGCACACAAAGAATGCTGCTTAAGTGCTCAGTAATCAAATTAGAACTGTGGGCAAAACAAAAAAGATTGACAAACATTATGTGTGGCAGTCAGTCATTAGCATTAAATTGTTAGTTAATTCTTGAAAAAAAAAAATTCTGGCCCTCCTGCAAGTTAACCTCTTCCCTCCAGCCACACACATATGCGCCCTCTCAGTGGGTGGGCCTTAATGCTGAGAGGCAACACATATGCATACCCAAACAAAAACAGAACTGTGTGGACAGCGTGCACCATGCATGCTCCCGACACAGCTACTGGTGGCTAACAGAAAGCCAATCATGTGACTGCTATGACAGCCAATCATGGCAGTCACATGATTACAAACCCGGCCTTGTCTCCCGGCATCTAAAACCCCTTAAAGGGTTAGGAGGTGCCGGCACCAAGGGGTTCATGTCATGTTGTGCATCGCATACTAGCACATTATGAAAGCCTTACCGTAAAATTAAGCCCGCCAGCGGTATACTGTCACCGTTAATAGAGCTTCCATCTTCACCCTGTCTTCCTTCTGGGTTCACAGGTTCTGGCTGTTTGAATGGCTGAGCTGCGATGATGTCACTTCTGCACATGCTCATGGGAACCATGACCGCTGCACAGCACTTGAAAGGCACAGCATACTCAGTATGCTCAAACGGTTCCCATTTAGGCAATATTCCTTGTACCTACAAGAAGGCTTTATTATAAGCGGTGTTTACTACCTCTTTAACACAGAATTTTTTATCTTTCTAGATATCTGCTTTAAGTTATTTACCCAGTTTTACTGAAATGTACTGGCCAACTCTGTTTCATAGGATCTGGGAACCCCTGCATATGATTCAGTTGGGAACATTCAAAATAAACACATGTGATCCCCAGGTCATGTGACTGGTATTGCCTAGATGATGGCTGCTAGGCGCAGTCATTATCACATAGGGAGCAGATCACATACTTCTTACCCAGAAGTGCTCAGCATTCTTACAGACTAAGGAGGAACAAAACACTGAGAGTGTGCAGGGGGTCAGCGGGAAAGGGGGGCTGTTTCCAGGGACACTGTTGCCTTTACCTGAATAGACAAGGTGACAGTGCCACTTTAAGTTGAAGCAAGGTCCTGTATTATCTACATTAGTACTACACAGGATTTCCACTGCTGTTAGCCAATAAAGGTATTATCCCCAGCTACGTTTCCTATAGTGATATAAACTACTGTTCTGATTAGAATTTAAACTGTCACTAAACCCACAACAGTAAAATCAGTCTGTATATGCAGTAAAGCATGCTTGTTATACTCACTGTGGAACCTAAGCGGTTAATCCTCCGCATTGTGTAAAAAGGTTGTTTGATCCTGAATTCCCTGCCTCTCCTCTTGTTCAAATGTCCACACTGATAAGACAGACTGAACCCACAGCCCTTCAAGGTGATTCAGAAAGGGGGAGTTCCTTCACCTGTTCTCTGAGAAAAAAGCCCTGATCATATCAAAAATAATTTAAAGTGTTACTAAACCCACAACAGTAAAATCAGTCTGTATATGCTGTAAAGCATGCCAGTTATACTCACTGTGCATTGTGTAAAAAGGTCGTTTGAACATGTCTTCTCTGCTCCTCCTCTTGTTCAAATGTCCACATCTTATCTCCTGATAAGACAGACTGGACTGTAGTCATTCTGCACATGCTCAGTTTAGTGTGTATTGCTAGAGAGGTTTTTTTTTCTTGGGAGAGTGCATGTGATCAGCACAGGGCCAATCAGCACTGTCCAGAGGGTCAAGGGTTTCACATCCTCCTAGAGCAGAAAGAAAACGCCTCCTACAATCTTTAACCAGTGCTCTGCTGAATTCACGAGACTGTTCTAACTCCTGATAAGAAAATATATTTATCCGTTTATATTTACTAAAATAATTGCACTTCCATGTTCTGTGTACTGTGGGAGACCAGATATAGTGAATGCAGGTTCCTGGGTTTAGTAACACTTTAATGTTTACTGATTGATTTCACTTTGTACTGTAGGTCTTCTGGCTGAACTGAAGCAATGCTACATTTTCCAGCATACTGTAATGTGGGCATATACATTAATGCCCACCCAAGGTATGCACATGGTGCAGGGTTAGAACTTGATGTTCTTACTAACAGATAATATGAACACCCATTCATATCTGTGCCTAATTATTTATTAAAGGTACTCTACTTAATTCCAATGTTACAGATAACAAGGAAGCTTGATAAAATATTAAACTGTTATAACATAGTTTTCATTTTGCACTATGCATTATCAGCCAAAATATGAAGCCAGAAGACCTTTTGGACTGAAAAACCAAAATGTATCATTTCTTAATGCAATATAATTTAATTTAATTTTTCATTGTACATGTTAATACTTCTCTGTCAGAGGGAAGCACAAGAGAAAGAGCTAATGGCATAAAAGAACTGATTGGAAATGTCAAGGTTATGTCATAGAATGGTATCATTACTGTATGCTGAGCTTTTTATCTTGTAAGCCTTTTATATTCTACTATACTGTACCCTTTGTGTAAACCTAGTTTTCATTTACATAAATTGCAATCATTCTGGTGAAACTCATAAGTTATAATACAATGGAACCAGGCAATCTGAATCATATATGATTAACAAATTATTGTAAATTGAAGTAATTATAAAATGAAAGGAATTGCATAGGATTGGCTTAATTGCTTATGTGAGGGGAGCCCTTCCATCATATTTATTTAAGAACGTTTTTTAAATAAGAATTAAATTTAGATTGCTGGGTAAACATGTTGTTTGTTCTCTCAGCTTACTGTTAATACACTAATTCCTTGATTGTTTTCAGAGGACTAATATGGTCCAGAACTGACTAAAATGTAAGCAGAACTAACAAGATAAAAATGAACAGTCCATTAAGACCAAAATAAAATAACAAAACCAGCTTTGCCGCAATATTCAGCTTCAATCCAGACTTTTCCAGTTTTACCCCATGATGCTTTTTCTGCCAGTAGATGTCCTAGATGTCTGATGACCAGCATCGTTCTACCCACTTCCTCTGAGCCCAGGTCACCCTAGACCTACCACAGGCAGTTACTGGACAGTGAAAGGAGAAGCAGCACATTAGCAAGCTCATCTCTCTGTCACTCCATTTCTCTTCCTACCAGCATACTCTTGTCAGAACATGAACTGATTGGCTACTTGTGCTATTGCTTTTTTTCACACTCCAGCTCAGCTATATAGGGAATTCAAGAGGTTGAAACAAGGTCAAATCCGGGTACAGCATGCATTTAAATATTACATTTAATGATTATTTACTGGCTACATAGACACAATAATTTGTGCCTTTTATATCTGCCTAGAGTTCAGCATTAGAAATGGATTTGACTTTATGAAGTATACAGTAAATAACTTGATACCGTTTTCACCAACAAATTGCATTTATATTTTGGATGTCACCAGTGAAGTAAACAAGTGTTCCACTTAGCCACTAAGCTTTTAAAATGTCATTGTTGGGCCAAAGGACAGAAAAGCACTCTTCTGAATGTGACAGAGTGTTTTTGTCTGGACAGTTTACTATATATATTTTTTTCACATTTTAGCTTTGTGTTGACAACTGAGCATTAAATAATGTTAATGTGAATATCTATTTTCACATTGGTAAAATGAACTCATGGCTGTACTGCAACTTTGCTTCTAGATGACTTTGTTTCACCTGGTACTGCCAACTGCCCAGACCTTCAAAGGGCCTCTTTGAAGTTATTTCTCCATATGAAATAAAGTTCATTTTAAATAACTGCTGCGTTTTCTTTATTCAAGACAAGCTATGCTCGTGAGGTTATATTGATATTTCCCATGGCCATGGAGCATAGCATAAATAAATAAATAAAAAGTCTGCATGATTGGAGATTGATGACCTTGGTCCAGAAGAGGTTAAAGAATCACAATTGGGATTTTGAGGGATAGGTCTCAGTTAATTGGTCACCAGGTGTCAGGTTGGAGAGGTTAACAAAAGAGACAAATGGATGTTCTGTTTCCTTAGTACTTAAGCATGTGGTTGTGGTGATTTGTCCATCCAGTCTGTTCTTAATCATAGATACCCAGGACACAAATATAAGGTTAATGGTAAAGAGGCCCTGTCTGGAACTATTGTGTCTATGTGGTATGCTGGCATTGATGGTGATTTCCTTGTCTTTAGTATCAGGAAACTGGAGTCTAAATTTTTTTAGAGCAAGGCATTAATGGCAGCTCCCATTTTTCTATCTAATAGGTTCCCTATAGGTATAGCTGAAAAGAAATGTCCTTAACAACTTCAAATCCTTAAGCTGTTTATAAACAGCATAAGGTTTAAATAGTTATACTGGGATCATGGTTGAGTCTACTGTCAATTCCCTACCAGGTAAAAGTGATCTGAGTGGCTATACAACCACTGGATCACATTTACAGGCGGTGAAAGGTGGTTCAACCTCCCCGAAACCACATTTACAGGGTGCTCCTGTTGGCTTTTAAAGTAGTACACAACAGTAGCTTGGCACCGTTCCACTGGCATATGCACTTTTAAAGCATGATAGGTTAGGTATCTATTTACTTAGTGTAACTTAATCTTTTATGTTTTAAAAACAAATTGGGTATTATATTGTGTTTGTTTTCACTCATTAAAGTGTATTTTTTCCATCAAATTTGTGTTTGATAGACAACTGCACAAATATTTTGCAACATAAAAAATTGCAGCAACAACCATTTTATTCTCCAGAGTCACTGCTTAAAGATGAAGAGTGCAAAATCAGACTCACTTCTGCATAAAAACCAATAAGCTTCAATGTTTTATTACCAAAACTTAGCTGAACAAGCTGAATTTAGAAGCTGATTGGCTACCATGTACAGCTGCACCAGATTCTGTGTGCTCCAGTTTTAGTAAATGTACCCCATAATGTTTGGGGGTTATAAGTAATTTTCTAGCAAAAAATGCTGACTTTTACATGTATGACAGAAATGTCCCCGACTGGAACTGGTTAAAGCAACACTAATATCACAAATGAAATGTATAATCTGGTAGGCCACAACTTCACTGTGCTGAAGATCTAATTAGGATTCTTCAGTATCAAGCATACATCCTGTTGTATGTTCAGGTGTGTGTTGGATGCCTGGCCCTCCACTGTGCTCTATGGTTCCATCCACTGTCCCCCACATCACTACTTGACGCAGTAACGCTGAAGGGGCCAGGGGATGGAACTACCACTTGGCAGGTATCCAACAAACGAAGAGCATGACAGATGGTAAAGATTTCCCAGCTACTGTAGATATTCAGCACATTGGAATTAAAGTTCATGGCCTATTAGAAAAGTATCAATACTTTTTTCTTCTGTGGGGAGCATTTCTGTGCTAATAGTGTCATTTTAGGTGTGTGGTACAGCTGAGTGTAAGGAGTCTCTATTGAGCAAATAAAGACATTTAAACTCATTGTTTGTATAAGCTTTGATATACAAAGCTTTTTATTCACGTGAATATTTGCTTACAGCTCAGCCTAGGCTGCAGAAAATTATACAATTCCAGGAACCCATAATTCCTAAGTTGTACAATTAAGCACAGTTTGAACTAATCTGTATGCATTTATTCAAATTAATCAAGTTTAACAATCTGCCCATTCAGATGACTTGCAGATGATAATAATGCTGTTCACCAAGTCCAACAAAATGAAAACCCAAACTCCCAGTTGGTCCATATGAAGGTAAAAACTGTTATTGAGGATGGCCCAGTTTGCTCGAAAAAACGTTCTGATTGCTTAAGTCAATGGAATAACTACTCAGATCTGCATGCTGCAATTTGTTATAATATTTGTAGCCACTTATATTTTGTGCATTTAGAAACACATTCAGATCTTTTTTTACTAACTAATGACTAAGTCTACTTGAACCAGTTCCAGTGAAGTTTATTCCACATTTCCACATACATTTTTTTTTCCTTCCAGTGGCAAGGAGTGTATTTTGTGCCCTAACATGAACAGCTTTTGCTATAACTTTACTATATGGCCCATTTATTTTTCATCATATGCCTACTTGCCTACAGTCTTGCTCTCTCCCAATATGTACCAAAATGTGTTAAACATACAACATATGAACATACACATCCAAGTATGGTTAGAGGCCAATGTAATTTCTACCAGACTGTATAAAGTGATAAAAACAAGTCTTTAAATTAAGACTGCAATCGCTTCTTCAATAGTTGGTACAGGAATCACAAATCCGTGCTTCCTTCCAGTGTTCCCATTTACCAACAGTTGTTGACACTTAAGCAAGAGTCAATAAGTGCTTGGTTATAAGTGTCTTTAACTCAGGCTGTTTTCCTCTCGGGCATCCACCACTCCTCCAGTCTGATGGCGGGGTTCCCTCTTACTGGAACTCTAATTGCTTATCATAAGGGACAACAATTGTTGATAAGTGGGAAAACACTGGAGGGAAGCATGGTTTTGTGATTCCTGCACCAACTATTCAAGAAGTGATTGCAAACTCGCACTTTAATTTAAAGACTGCAGCTAGTTTTTAGCACATTATACAGTCTGGTAGAAATTATATTGGACTCTGATCATACTTGGATGTGTATATTCGTATGTTGTATGTTTAACACATTTTGGTACACATTAGGAGAGGGCAGCACTGTAAGTTGGTATATCATAATTGAAGGTTACAGAACCTTTGTGACAGCAGAAGCTCTAGTGATTGACTTTTATTTATTGTCACCAAATCTATTTATTTATATACTGAATTTTAAAATCACTATAAGAATATTTAGAATATTCACAGGGGAGACCATAGTGCAGGTAGATAGTATTTCATTTATTTTTCAGTTTAGTTCATACTTCTTCCTAGATGAGGTCCTTTGTGCCTCTTATTAATTTAGC